CTTGATGTGTGTATCAATGTATTTCTCAACTTTAGTGTTATGTTTGTCACACATATCCCCTGGAACAAGACGATAACTGGACAAAAAAAAAACAACAACAAAACATTTCATTAATTATCAGTAAATAATAATATACAATAATATATAATTTTGTCTATGAAATACCTAAATTTATCATATGACCTGTATTTCAGCCCTACGCGCGCTCTTAAAAACCTTTGGGAAATGGTAACGTGATGGGGGCCGTACGCCTTTTTGCGACAGGGCAGTACAAACCCGTATCTTCCTGGCTTGATGTTCTGCAACTCTTTTATTTTTTTAACACATCTTTTCATCAAAAAATGGCATTAAAAACGCTGTCATATGATAAAATGCTTATTGAGTGAGTTAGGTCGGGCCATACGGGAAAATACTTGGCTCTCGCTGCGCTCGTTCCGTACGGCATAACCTCGAGCCAAATATTTTTCTATACGGCCCTCCCACTCAGTCAATAAGTACATTTATCATATGACCCGTATTTCGGCCCTACGCGCGCTCTCACTGAAACCTTTGGAAAATGGTCACGTGATGGGGTCCATACGCCTTTTCGCGACAGGTCCGTACAAACCCGTATTTTCCCGGCTTGAAGTTCCGCGCGCTTTTATTTATTTTTTTTACATTAAAAAACGCTATCATATGATAAAATGCTTATTGACTGAGTTAGGGCGGGCCGTACGGGAAAATATTTGGCTCTCGGTCATTTGTACGGACCTTGCTGCACTCGGTCCGTACGGCATAACCTCGAGCCAAATATTTTCCCGTACGGCCCTCCCACTCAGTCAATAAGTACATAATTGTCCATTTCATAAAATTTAAGTTGATATTTTCACTCATGAAAATAACATGTTATTTCATGTAAGAAAAAAGGTATTTTACGACATAATTTCCTTCACTGCGCTCACTCCTGAGAGATTTTTTCAACACTCAGAGATAAAATCCCTATCTCCACGTGCCCATGTAATATTCTCTATAATTATATTACCCTTTGAGTTCAGGTTTGACTTGGTTGACTTGGTCACCATGTAAACAAAGATGAGGTACTTTACTCTTGTCAGGTTTGCAGATGTCAGAACCAACTTCACGAGTGTAGCCATAATCACTGATTTGAAGCAATAAATCACACTTAGTAAACTGCGATCAACTTTTATTGATATATAAATAATTTATCTGAATATTACCATTCAAGATCAGCATTAGTACATGGACAGTACTCAATTGTTGACTGTGGAACATAGTCTTCTCCATTAAAACAACTACAACAAGAAAATGATCTGATTGTGTTAGAGAAAAAAAAAGTTACTTGAATGAAAGCAACCTTCTCAATTAAAGACTAAAACAAATAATAGTAAATTCACACAATATATGACAAGACAATACATAAAGTAGTTACTGTACTCACAGTGCTTCTGGTTTTGGTCTTAAAAATGTAACCTTTTTACCAAGAAGACAACCATTGTTTTTCCCATTGCCATGAGGAACCCATTTAGTGTAGTCTGAATTATCATCATTAGCATTATACGCACCTATCAATCAATCAATCAATCAATCAATCAAGCACTGAATCAGTCAATCAATCAATCAATCAATCAATCAATCAATCAATCAGTCAATTATTCAATCAATCAATCAATTATTCAATCAATCAATCAATAATTTATTCAATCAATCAATCAATCAATCAATCAATCAAGAAGACAACCATTGTTTTTCCCATTGCCATGAGGAATCCATTTAGTGTAGTCTGAATTATCATCATTAGCATTATACACACCTATCAATCAATCAATCAATCAATCAATCAAGCACTG